ATAGAGAAATTTGGTATTAAATTTAAAAAAGTTTGCTAGTAACAAGCGATATTTTTATTTTTAGAATAAAAAACTTTAAGGAACTGTCCAAAAAAGTATATGAATATTGAAAAATTGGTATCCGATGATGATTAATAGTTAGCTGCTCGATTCATGGTATTCGAAGATTGTAAGACAACAGCTGACGCAGCTATTAAGAGTTTTATTTCGTTCTTTTTATTTCTTTCGCGGATACTCTAGGATTCTTTCCTGAACATTGAATATATTATTGAAGCGTAAATATATGTATTAATATGTATATATGATATATATAAAATTCTTTATATATATATATATATTTAATATTTTTATTCGTATTTTAATCAAATATGAATATATTTAAAATATAAAATATGCATATTCAAATCAAACTATTTGAGTTAATAATTTATAAATATATAGTTAGTTTCAAATTTAATTTTTTTAATCACTATCTTTTTATTCGTTAAAAGAATGTTAAGTGGTTTATTTTTATTAATTATGTAATTTATATTGTATTTAATTATATAATATTATATTATATATATAATTACAAATAAATATATCAACACAAAATAAAAATAAAAAATGAGTCATTAGAAAAAAAAGTTCTATGAGAATATATATCTATTAGGTATTGGACACAGATATCGATTACAATCTATATTCACAAAATTTTGATTACGCCACTGCAGCAACAGGTTGTCACCAATGAGAACCATCGTGAATGGGCGCGTTCATCCATTTGATAGCAATACGACCTGCCACTATAAAGGAACAAGACTATCTTTTAAATTTAAATAAGAATTTTTTAAATTTTATTATAAACTAATATATTATATAATAAACATATGGAAAATTAATTACTAGTTAAATATGCATACAAATATTTAATTTTTGATTTAAATTAATATAATAATTAATAATATCTATATATGTATATATAATTTCTTTATTTAAAATTTAATTTTAAATATTTTATATATAATGTTATACAAGTATAACAAATTGAAAATAAAAAAAAACATTGCTTTAAAGGCAATAATGAAAATGAATATTTAATCTCTGTTATCAGTAATTTATTTATCAATAATACTATGAATCATGAAACACAGCGATTAATTTGATGTTGTATAAAGCAAGGTCAATTTATATGTTATTCATTTTACTAAAAATTATGTTCATATATTTTTTTTTATTTTTTTTAATAACTTTAATATTGATAATTTGATATTTATAATATAATCTGTATATAATATATATATATATATATTATATACAGATTATATATATATTATATAA